AAGCGATTCTTCCGCCTCAGCCCCCAACTAGCTGGGATTACAGGCGCATGCCACCACACCTGGCTAATTTTTTGTATTTTTTTTTTTTTTTGACGGAGTCTCGCTCTGTCACCCAGGCTGGAGTGCAGTGGCCGGATCTCAGCTCACTGCAAGCTCTGCCTCCCGGGTTCACGCCATTCTCCTGCCTCAGCCTCCCGAGTAGCTGGGACTACAGGCGCCCGCCACCTCGCCCGGCTAGTTTTTTTTGTATTTTTTAGTAGAGACGGGGTTTCACCGTGTTAGCCAGGATGGTCTCGATCTCCTGACCTCGTGATCCACCCGTCTCGGCCTCCCAAAGTGCTGGGATTACAGGCTTGAGCCACCGCGCCCGGCCAATTTTTTGTATTTTTAATAGAGACGGGGTTTCGCCATGTTGGCCAGGTTGGTCTCGAACTCCTGACCTCAAGTGATCCGCCTGCCTCAGTCTCCCAAAGTGCTGGGATTACAGGTGTGAACCACCGCGCCCAGCCTTGTTTTTGTTTTTGTTTGAGATGGAGTCTCACTCTGTTGCCCAGGGTAGAGTACAGTGGCACAATCTTGGCTCACTGCAGTCTCCGCTTCCCAGGTTCAAGCGGATCCTCCTGCCTCAGCCCCCACTAGCAGATGAGATTACAGGCATGCACCACCATGCCTGGCTACTTTTGGTTTTTGGGGGGGGGGGGGTTGTTTTTTTGTTTTGAGACGGAATCTCGCTCAGCTGCCCAGGCTGGAGTGAAGTGGTGCAATGTGGGCTCACTGCAACCACTGTCTCCCGGGTTCAAGCAATTCTTCCATCTCAGCCTCCCAAGTAGCTGGGATTACAGACACCTGCCATCATGCCCGGCTAATTTTTTTTTTTTTTTTTTTTTGGAGACGGAGTCTCGTTCAGCCGCCCAGGCTGGAGTGGAGTGGTGCGATCTGGGCTCACTGCAACCACCGTCTCCTGGGTTCAAGCGATTCTCCCATCTCAGCCTCTTGAGTAGCTGAGGTTACAGGCACTCGCCATCATGCCCGGCTAATTTTTGTATTTTAGTAGAGACAGAATTTCACCATGTTGGCCAGGCTGATCTTGAACTCCTGACCTCAGGTGCTCCACCCGCCTCGGCCTCCCAGAGTGCTAGGATTACAGGCGTGAACCATCGCAGCTGGCCTAATTTTTGTCTTTTTGGTAGAGACAGGGTTTCGCCATGTTGGCCAGGCTGTTGTTTTTTGTGTTTTGTTTTGTTTTTTGTTTTTTGAGACGGAGTCTCACTCTGTCACCCAGGCTGGAGTGCAATGGCGTGATCTCAGCTCGCTGCAACCTCCACCTCCTGGGTTCAAGAGATTCTTCTGCCTCAGCCTCCTGAGTAGCTGGGATTACAGGCATGTGCCACCACACCCAGCTAATTTTTGTATTTTTAGTAGAGACAGGGTTTCACTGTGTTGGCCAGGCTGATCTCGAACTCCTGACCTCGTGATCTCCCCACTTCGGCCTCCCCTAGTGTTGGGATTACAGGCATGAGCCACTGCGCCTGGCCAGAGTACTGTTAAAGAGAAAAAACTTGATTTATGAAAAAGAAATTTCTTATAAATTTGCAGTTTTCTTTATGTTGTTGTTGTTGTTTTGAGAAGTAGTTTCACTCTTGTTGCCCAGGCTGGAGTGCAATGGCACGATCTCGGCTCACCGCAGCCTCTGCCTCCCAGGTTCAAGCAATTCTCCTGCCTCAGCCTCGCTAGTAGCTGGGATTATAGGCATGTGCCACCACGCCCGGCTAATTTTGTATTTTTAGTAGAGACGTGCTTTCTCCATGTTGGTCAGGCTGGTCTCGAACTCCCGACCTCAGGTGATCCACCCGCCTCAGCCTCCCAAAGTGCTGGGATTACAGTCAGGAGCCACCGCACCCAGCCACATAAATTTGCAGTTTTCAAAGTCAATTTTTTTGTGCATATATTTATTCATATATTTAATTATATATATTTAAAATATTTTATATATTTTTTATATTCATGTCATTTATTTCTAGTCTAAATGGATGAGCTATTTGCATTCCCACCCATAATATATAAGAAAAGATTACTAGTCTACCTCCTTAACATAAGGCCACTTAAAAGTCAGGGCCAGGCACGGTGGCTCAGTGAGAGGCTAGTCTGAAGGTAATGAGTTCTCTAGATTGTTCACACTGTCTTTGATGTCTGTCACAGGTCTTCTGGTCTGATCAGTGCAGTATTCACATTTATTATTTATGTGTGTTCAGGCCTTTTGTACTTCTTCAGTATTCACTAAATAATTTTTTTTTTTTTTTTTTTTTTTTTGAGACAGAGTCTGGCTCTGCCGCCCAGGCTGGAGTGCAGTGGCCGGATCTCAGCTCACTGCAAGCTCCGCCTCCCGGGTTCACGCCATTCTCCTGCCTCAGCCTCCCGAGTAGTTGGGACTACAGGCGCCCGCCACCGCGCCCGGCTAGTTTTTTGTATTTTTTTAGCAGAGACGGGGTTTCACCGTGTTAGCCAGGATGGTCTCGATCTCCTGACCTTGTGATCCGCCCGTCTCGGCCTCCCAAAGTGCTGGGATTACAGGCTTGAGCCACCGCGCCCGGCCTAAATAATTTTTTTTTTTTTTTTTTTTTGAGGCTGGGTCTCTGTCACCCAGGCTACAGTACAGTACAGTGGTGCGATCACAGCTCACTGCAGCCCTAAGCTTCCTGGGCTCTCACTGTAGCCTCCTGAGTAGCTGGGACTACAGGCACATGCCACCATTCTCAGCTCATTTTTGTATTTTTTGTAGAGACAGGGTTTCACCATGTTTCCCAGGATGGTATTGAACTCCTGGGCTCAAACCATCCTCCCACCTTGGCCTCCCAAAGTGCTGGGATTACAAGCATGAGCCACCGTACACGGCCTAAAGGACCTTTTTGACAACTTCACCCCTCACTGATCTCTCTTTTCTCCCTCCAGTTCCTTTGGTATATATCTTCTGTACCAAAAACTTTAATATTGAATTGTACGTTATTTTGTTCACAGATCAGTTCGTGTGTGTGTGTGTGTGTGTGTGTGTGTGTGTGTGTGCGCGCGCATGCGCGTGCGCATCTGCCTGTGTTTTGAATCCAAATGCCCATAAATGATTTTAAGTTCCTTGTGGGCAGTTTGTTTTTTTGGCTTTTTTCCCAACAAAAGGAATCAAATAAGTATTTGGTGACTGATAGATAAATAGGATTAAAGAAAAGAATTCAGCCAGAAGTTAGGGATGCGTTAGCATCTGATAAAAATACAATAGCAAAAACTCTTCTACTCCTGCTTTTTGTTATAAAAAGTAGCAAGGAATTGTTCTAGAAAAGAAGTGAAGGCCAGGTGCAGTGGCTCACACCTGTAATCCCAGCACTTTGGGAAGCTGAGGCAGGGGGATCACGAGGTCAGGAGTTCAAAACCAGCCTGGCCGAGATGGTGAAACCCCTTCTCTACTAAAAATACAAAAAAATTATCCAGGCATGGTGACAAGCGCCTGTAATCCCAGCTGCTCAGGAGGCTAAGGCAGAGAGTTGCTTGAACCCGGTAGGCAGAGGTTGCAGTGAACCAAGATCACACCACTGCACTCCAGCCTGGGCAACAGAGCAAGACTACATCTCAAAAAAAAAAAAAGTGAAGTAAGGCCAGGCGTCATGGCTCACACCTGTAATCCCAGCATTTTGGGAGGCTGAGGTGGGCAGATTACTTCAAGTCAGGAGTTCGAGACCAGCCTGGCCAACATGGTGAAACCCCGTCTCTACAAAAATTAGCTGGGCATCATGGAGGGCACCTCTAATCCCAGCTACTTAGGAGTCTGAGGCAGGAGAATCACTTGAACCCGGGAGGTGGAGGTTGCAGTGGGTCGAGATCACGCCATTGCACTCCAGCGTGGGCGACAGAGCAAGACTCAGTCTCAAAAAAAAAAAAAAAAAAAAGAAGTGAAGTGAATTTGAGTCAGGATACTTAACAGGACAAGCATTAGGCAGTGTTGCAAGTACATATTGGAATCTCTGGCTGGCTGTAAGAAAGAGTTTGAACTTATTTACGTCCTTAGCCCTATGTGACAGATAACAAACTAAAAGGTACAGAAAATAGAGATGTTTGATTTTTCTAAGTTGCCCCAAGCTACCATTTTTAAAAACGCCTGCAAGCATGTCTAAAACAGGAGCCTGTTAGCTACAGTTGCCAAACCGGTTTAACAGCACTGCCTCCATGTATTCTGGGTGAGAAGGAGCTCCGAGTACATAAATGTATCAAAGATCACTATCCCAGTCATCTCAGAACAAGTTGTTACTAATGTACTGGAGTTTCTGTGCAAACTGTCTACCATAAACCATGAAATGATTCAAAGTTCATAGTTCCTTCTTTGTTCCTTTGTTAATCACTGACTTCTGACTAGTGGGAGGTGCCTCCCAAGTTTGCTAATGCATTCTTTTTGGATAAGGATGACGCACAGATTGTCCTAATAAGGACTTAGATTGAGAAAGACCGCCCCCTCTGAGAAGAGGGGACAAGTCAGAGAGAGGGCGGGCAGTTTCTTTTTTAACTAGGGATGACACAAGCATAAGTCATTTCCTTATTAATTGGTTCAAACCAGTTCTTACAGGAACTGGTGGTGATAAATGTGGGACTTCTGAGAAGTCATTCATTTTATTCTTTGTGCCACACCAGAGTACAGTATCAGCTGAGCTGGCCTTACTCTGGGACTAACTCTTTTGCTGGGAGCGGTTCCTGATTTACAGCTCTTAGTCTCTCCCAGACGTGTTGGTGGGAGAGATTTTGCTTTTTAAGGGGTTGTTAGAAGGAAGAATTTTTTTTTTTTTTTTTACTAGAAAGAGCTCACAGAATTTCAGCAGTTCTCTGATTTTTATATTTTATTCCTCTTCCTATACAATCCCTGCCTTTTGAGTCCAGGTGGTAAGTGCATTTTGTTTAACGTTTTTCCTGCTTTTCTTCCCAAATGTGTCTTTTTCCTCGGGCTACTGTACCCTGCCTGCTTCCAGTGCTGTCCCCGGCATAGGTCCATCTCTGCAGAAGCCATTTCAGGAGTACCTGGAGGCTCAACGGCAGAAGCTTCACCACAGAAGCGAAATGGGCACACCACAGGTAAGACTTTATTCCGGTTTCTTCTCCCCTCTGGGAAGTTTCAGGCTGAAATTACATTCACAGCTCTCACTCACATTTTTAGGCAAATAAGTGAGGTTGGTTTGCCAGTGTTCCTTGACAGAAGCTGAGTGTCTGTGTATGCTCTACTGGGAAATTTGTCTTTGTCTTAAACTAGAAAGTGTACTTCTGTACATCTTCTCCCAAAAACAAGGGTGGAGCCAATGGAAAACAATGGTTCTGTTACATAGAATGAGTTGTTGCCTTGATCTTAAATTAGTAGATATACTCCCCAGGTGGATTAAAAAGTTAAAACTTACAGCGTAACAAAGTATTAGACTTACTGAGGTGACTTGAATATCTCCCTTTGATTTTCACTCTGTTTTTCTTTTCACCCATGGGGAAATGATAATTTTTTTAATACACCAAGGTTCTTACCATAGCTGAACTTTAAAACTTAGACTGTCTTTTCTGTAAACGATTCTGAGGCAAAGGGAAATGACTAGAAGAGGATGAGTAAGCAATAACCTGAAATGGGAAACTCGAGGGAAGCACAGTATTTTTTGTTTGGTTTGGTTTGGTTCATTTTTTGTTTGTTTGTTTGTTTGTTTTTTGAGACAGGAGTTTCGCTCTTGTTGCCCAAGCTGGAGTGCGATGGTGCAATCTCCGCTCACTGCATTCTCTGCCTCCCGGGTTCAAGCGATTCTCCTGCCTCAGCCTCCCGAGTAGCTGCGATTCCAGGCGCGCGCCACCACACCAGCTAATTTTTTGTATTTTAGTAGAAATAGGGTTTCACCATGTTAGCCAGGCTGGTCTAGAACTCCTGACCTCAGATGATCTGCCTGCCTTGGCCTCCCAAACTGCTGAGATTACAGACGTGAGCTACCGCGCCCGGCCAGAAGCACTGTTTTTTTAATGGCCTTGCACTCTTTATGTGGACCTTTGGTGCCCTCAATTGACCAAACATGACATCAGAAACAGATACATTTATGTGTTTTTAAAACAGCTCCTAATACTAGAACAAAAATATTTAACTGTCTTGACAGTACTCACAAATATCTGCGTGGTAACTTCGGAGTTGAGTTTAATCAAAGAGTTTTTTCTTAGGTCCTAGTAGAAGAGCTAACCTCACACTCACCCCATTCTAAACTATATGAATCAACATTGATTTTACATCCAACAACGTGAAATCTTGCTAGTTGGATGTGAAAAGGAGAGGAATGGGTGTTTTGGAGTAGCTGGGGTTGCTTACTTTTCAGTTTTAATTCTTCAGGTTTTCTAAGTTACACACTTCAAGTTTTCATTATTTTCCTTAAAGCATTATAGATGACCCTCTTTTTACTACTGACCAAATGAAACCTTTTTCACTGCATTGTTCTGCATTTATTTCTACAGGGAGAAAACTGGTTGTCCTGGATGTTTGAAAAGTTGGTCGTTGTGATGGTGTGTTACTTCATCCTATCTATCATTAACTCCATGGCACAAAGTTATGCCAAACGAATCCAGCAGCGGTTGAACTCAGAGGAGAAAACTAAATAAGCAGAGAAAGTTTCAAACTGCAGAAATTGGAGTGGATGGGTTCTGCCTTCAATTGGGAGGACTCCAAGCCAGGAAGGAAAATTCCCTTTTCCAACCTGTATCAATTTTTACAACTTTTTTCCTGAAAGCAGTTCAGTCCATACTTTGCACTGACATACTTTTTCCTTCTGTGCTAAGGTAAGGTATCCACCCTCAATCCAATCCACCTTGTGTGTTCTTAGGGTGGAATGTGATGTTCAGCAGCAAACTTGCAACAGACTGGCCTTCTGTTTGTTACTTTCAAAAGGCCCACATGATACAATTAGAGAATTCCCACCACACAAAAAAAGTTCCTAAGTATGTTAAATATGTCAAGCTTTTTAGGCTTGTCACAAATGATTGCTTTGTTTTCCTAAGTCATCAAAATGTATATAAATTATCTAGATTGGATAACAGTCTTGCATGTTTATCATGTTACAATTTAATATTCCATCCTGCCCAACCTTCCTCTCCCACCCTCAAAAAAGGGCCATTTTATGATGCATTGCACACCCTCTGGGGAAATTGATCTTTAAATTTTGAGACAGTATAAGGAAAATCTGGTTGGTGTCTTACAAGTGAGCTGACACCATTTTTTATTCTGTATATTTAGAATGAAGTCTTGGAAAAAACTTTATAAAGACATCTTTGATCATTCCAAAATTGTGTCCGTTTTCTTGAGCGTTTTGATTTTTTACTTTTAGCTTATACCAGCTGAATGGCAGCCTTGCCTAATCCACCTACAACAAGATTTCTTAAGCCTTCTTTTATTTGCATGAGAGAGCCACTACCAAGGCATGTTTTGTTATGCTGAGACTGGGCTGCTGCATACTGCTAAATGGTACCTCTGGGATTGGCCTACCTGGGAATTTCTTGGTTTGTGAAAATAGGAGAGGAGAGATATTTCATACAAGTGAAAGGATACTGGAGAGAGAAATTACCCATTTCTAAAAAGAACCACACTCTGTCGTATCTGTGTTAATGTTTTCTAGCCTGTACTCTGGTTTCAACAGACACAAATTTATATGTAACCTAGTTTTCTTGCCTTTCTGTAAGTGTTTTATTCTTAATGTTATTTTTTTCCATTGGGACGTTTTTGATTGAACTTGTTCATTTTGTTTTGCTTGGGAGGAAAATAAGCAATTTTACTTTTTCCTTTAGGAGCATTATGAGCATTATGTCAGAATAGAATAGAATTGGGGTTCGATCTCAACAGGCCGGAAATGCCTGGGTTTTTTTGTTTTTGTTTTTGTTTTTTATCAAATCCTGCCTGAATGTCTGCTTGTTTTGCCTACCATCGTGACATCTCCATGGCTGTACCACCTTGTCGGGTAGCTTATCAGACTGATGTTGACTGTTGAATCTCATGGCAACACCAGTCGATGGGCTGTCTGACATTTTGGTATCTTTCATCTGACCATCCATATCCAATGTTCTCATTTAAACATTACCCAGCATCATTGTATATAATCAGAAACTCTGGTCCTTCTGTCTGGTGGCACTTTGAGTCTTTTGTGCCATAATGCAGCAGTGTGGAGGGAGGATTTTATGGGGAAATGGGGATAGTTTTCATGACCACAAATAAATAAATAAGGAAAAGTAAGCTGCATTGTGGGTTTTGAAAAGGTTATTATACTTCTTAACAATTTTTTTTTCAGGGACTTTTGTAGCAGTATGACTGTTACTTGACCTTCTTCGAAAAGAATTCCCAAAACGCTTTATTTTAGATAGATTAACATTAACCAACATATTTTTTTTTAGATCAAGTCAGAATAAATTTCTAAGTCGGCCTCTAGTCATGTTTCATCTCTTTCACCTGCATTTTATTTGGTGTTTGTCTGAAAGGAAAGAGGAAAGCAAATACGAATTGTACTATTTGTACCAAATCTTTGGGATTCGTTGGCAAATAATTTCAGTATGGTGTATTATTAAATAGAAAAAAAAATGTGTTCCCTAGGTTGAAGGTGTAATTGATACGTTTGACTTATGATGACCGTTTATGCACTCTTTCAAATGAATTTGCTTTCAAAATAAATGAAAAACAGCTCTCCTTCTTTCCTCTTTTAAGTGTTCAGCTGTGGCATGCCCAAAGGTTCCTGCTGGATTCCAGCTGGGGCGGTGTGATACCCTTCTTTTTCAGCTGTTCGTGCCTTCCTTTTTCGTTTTTCGTATCCACCAAAGTGGAGACAACTACATGATCCCAAAGATACACAGTACCTACTTAATTCCAGCTGATGAGACACCAGAGCATTTGCAAGTGGATGGTTTGGTATCACCGTAAATAAAAAGAGGGCCTGGGAATTCTTGCAATTCCATCTCTACTTTGTATAAGTCTCATTTTGTGCCTTACACATCTGCAGTGTTTTATCATGTTCCAACTTGGTGACTGTCAAGCAGTGCAATACATTAGCAGTTTATCACTGAAGAGCTGAGGAGCACCTCCCTTAAAACAGACAATGTCAGCCGGGCGCGGTGGCTCACGCCTGTAATCCCAGCACTTTGGGAGGCCGAGGCAGGCAGATCACCTGAGGTCAGGAGTTTGAGACCAGGCTGGCCAACATGGAGAAACCCTGTCTCTACTAAAAATACAAAAAATTAGCCGGGCGTGGTGATACACGCCTATAATCCCAGCTATTCAGGAGGCTGAGGCAGGAGAATCGCTTGAACCCAGGAGGCAGAGGTTGCAGTGAGCCGAGATAGCACCACTGCACTCCAGCCTGGGCGACAGAGCAAGACAAAAAAAAAAAAAACAGACCGTGTCACATGAAAATGTGCAATGTCCAGTTTTCCCATAGTTTTCTGCATTCCCTGTGTATGCATAATCTGGAGTATGAGTCTGGGAAGGAAGAGGTTTTTACTTTCATTTGGATAGTAGCCACCTCTCCATTCCCTACGAATGCTAGAATGAAGTTTTTGGGTTTTTTTGTTTTTTATTTTTATTTTTTGTTTTTTTGAGACAGAGTCTCGCTCCATCACCCACGCTGGAGTGCAATGGTACAATCTCGGCTCACTGCAACTTCTGCCTCCCAGGTTCAAGCGATTCTCCTGCCGCAGCCTCCAGAGTAGTTGGGATTTCAGGCACCCACCACCACGCCAGGCTAGTTTTTGTATTTTTAGTAGAGATGAGGTTTCGCCATGTTGGTCAGGCTGGTCTCGAATTCCTGACCTCAGGTGATCCACCCGCCTCGGCCTCCCAACATTCTGGGATCACAGATGTGAGCCACCGTGCCCACCTAGAATGAAGTTTCTTAAATACACTAGTTTAATTATTGAAACATATGCAGTATTGAGTGCTCCTAAACAAACAAGCTCAGTCTCTGCCCACAGTTTGCTCTGTGCTATCCACAGCCTTAGTAGGACAACATGAGGCTTTTTGTCATTTCACCAGTCATTCAACAATGACTCAATCTGAGTATGGATCATGTACTAGCTAAGTTAAATAACCAGTTGGGCTTATGTACCCTGAGGTGAATTGTTTAGCCTGACCCATGTGTAAGAAGGTCACAGAGATTCCCAACCTTTTAGTATCAAAAAGCTTTTCCATATATTACTCTGAAACCCATTTTCCCCCATGTGTAATAGTCTGTGTTAATGGTGGTTCAGGTTTCTTCCACATAGTTTGTGACCTGAGAAAGTTTAAAAGAGCCTTGGTTTCTTTCATCTATAAAAATAAAAGAGATAGAAGGACAGTTTATCTAAGGAATAAATCGGTAACATGTAAAGTACTGAAATAGGCTGGGTGCAGTGGCTCACGCTTATAATCCCAATACTTGGGAAGGCCAAGGCAGGAGGATCCCTTGAGGCCAAGAGTTCAATAAATACGGCCGGGCATGATGGCTCACACCTGTAATCCCAGCACTTTGGGAGGCTGAGGCGAGCGGATCACCTGAGGTCGGGAGTTCGAGACTAGCCTGACCAACATGGAAAAACCACCTCTCTACTAAAAATACAAAAAAGTAGCCGGGCATGGTGGCACACGCCTATAATCCCAGCAAGAGTTCAATAAAGAAAAGTACAGCAATAAAAGTTACCCACCACCCCCCGCCACTGCTTTTTTTTTGAAATGAGGTTTTACTACTGAAGTGTGGTGGCACAGTCATGGCTCCTTTTTTTTTTTTTTTTTTTGAGATGGAGTTTCACTCTTGTTGCCCGGGCTGGAGTGCAATGGCACGATCTCGGCTCACCGCAACCTCCACCTCGCAGGTTCAAGCAATTCTCCTGCCTCAGCCTCTCTAGTAGCTGGGAGTATAGGCATGTGCCACCACGCCCGACCAATTTTGTATTTTTAGTAAAGACAGGGTTTCTGCATGTTGATCAGGCTGGTCTCGAGCTCCCAACCTCAGGTGATCCGCCTGCCTCGGCCTCCCAAAGTGCTGGGATTACAGGCGTGAGCCACTACACCCAGCCAGTCATGGCTCTTTACAGCCTTGACCTCCCAGGCTCAATCAATTCTCCCACCTCAGCCTCCCTGGCAAGGACCAGCATGAACCACCACCATACCTGGCTAATTTTCAAATTTTGAAAGACGGTCTCAATATTTTGCCCAGACCGGTCTTAAATTCCCGGGCTTGAGCGATCCCGCCTCGGCCTCCCAAAGTGCTGGTATTACGGGCGTGAGCCACCATGCTGGGCATTCCCAAAGACTGAGGCGGGGCACAGCGGCTCATGCCTGTAATCCCAGCCTTTTGGGAGGCCAAGACAGGATCACTTGAGGTCAAGAGTTCAAGACTTGCCTGGCCGGCATGGTGAAACCCTATCTCTACTAAAAATACAAAAATTAGCCAGCTGTGGTGGCGTATGCCTGTAATCTCAGCTACTTGGGAAATAGGAGAGTCACTTGAACCCGGAAGGTGGAGGTTACAGTGAGCCGAGATCGTGCCACTGCACTCCAGTCTGGTCAACAGAGCAAGACACCATCTCACAAAAAAAAAAAAAAAAAAAAAAAAAAGACTGAGCATCTGATATACATGCAAGAATTTGACGACATTGCATTCACTCCTCCAGAAGCAAAGATATATTTTAAAATGCTTTCTTAGCATATGCGCTTTTGTTTTCTAGCAGATACTACATCAAACTTTTGATAAGTGAAAAATTTACTGAAGAAACCAAAAAAAGTTAACTTCCCCACCTGAAAATATTGACATTTACTAATTTATTTTCATTATAAAGAATATTGGGCCAGGCGCGGTGGCTCAAGCCTGTAATCCCAGCACTTTGGGAGGCCGAGATGGGCAGATCACGAGGTCAGGAGATCGAGACCATCCTAGCTAAACCGGTGAAACCCCGTCTCTACTAAAAAATACAAAAAACTAGCCCGGCGAGGTGGCGGGCGCCTGTAGTCCCAGCTACTCGGGAGGCTGAGGCAGGAGAATGGCGTGAACCCGGGAGGCGGAGCTTGCAGTGAGCTGAGATCCGGCCACTGCACTCCCGCCTGGGCGACAGAGTGAGACTCCGTCTCAAAAAAAAAAAAAAGAATATTGGTTATCACGGTTGCTCATGCCTGTAATTCTAGCACTTTGGGAGGCCAGGGCGGGCAAATCACTCCTGAGCCCAGGAGTTCGAGACCAGCCTGAACAATATAATGAGACCTCTCTACAAAATATTTAAAAGTTAGCCAAGTGTGATAGCATGTGCCTATAGTCCCAGGCTGAGATGGGAGGATCACCTCATTAGTGAGCCATGATTGTGTCACTACTGCAGCCTGAGTGACACAGACCCTGTCTCAAAAAATATATATATTAATACTAAAGAATCTGGAAGGTAAAGAGGAGAAAAGGGAGTATCGGCTTTTAACACTTGTTACAAGGTCAGTCTAGAAAATCCAGTGAGATTTGCTGGGTAAATAGGTTTTAAACCATGAAAAAATTGATGGCATGCAAGATCTTCCTCAGTAGACCTGAGAATCTCATTTCTGTTAAAAAAAAAATACAAAAAAAAAAAACTGCTTCATTTTATTCATAAATAATTGTTTGAGGTGCTACAAAAAATTAAAACTAAGCAGGAGTTTAAAGTTTTTGAAAGCCAAGTAACATCTCTAACATTTATTGAAGTCTCTCCAGTATTTACACAACATAAAGGAGATACTACACACAAAACCCTCGTATCTGAAGATAAATTCCTTTATTCTCAAAGACAAGAAAAAAAAGCACATCATCTACTTTAAACTTGAGAAGCAATTGAGTCATTTGTGTCTGGTGGACAGGAGCTAGGGATCATGTCCCTTTCCAACAAGGCCAAGAGTTCACCTGAGGTAATGCGTTTGCCTTGGGGGTGAGGCCTTGAATTACAGCAAATAACCTACATGTATTTGCATATTTAACCAGTACGCTTAAGAAGGGTTATACAAAAACCTGTTCCAGACAGCTGCTTACTCATTGCCTTTAAAATTGCATGGCGCTGGGATTGGCAGGTGCCAACTGTTTGCTCATTCTCTTTGACCCACTAGCCTTGCAGTTTGCTGTGTGGGTGTTGATACTCCTAAATTAAAGCAGGGAAGGGGTGGTTTTAGATGGCTTTTAACACCTGCTCTCCACCCAAGCACCCTGGATTCATTTGATATCTGGATTCTAATTCTGTCGTCAGGAGACTGGCCCAAACTGTGACCCAGAGAGAAGTGAGTCAGTTGCAAGTGGCTGGCTGACTCTATGGGAACAGAAATAAAATGCAGCTTAGAGGGTTTGTCAGCCAAATCCACAAATGTGTGGCTTTTTGAAACATTGGACATCTGTTCCTCTTAATTTAAAATAAACTTTTTTTTTTTTTTAAAGCACAAAGTTGCTTGGCTCCTTGTTTCTTTGTGTCAGCAGCAGTTGCTGCTCTAATTTAGGAACCCTAGGATCTGATTTAGGACATTTGGAATCTTTAAGGCACATTCGGTCTAGAAAGTGGAACTGAATTGCTTTGGGAAGGCAAGAGGATGATTTTACAGTATAGGGTTTGTGTGGAAATCCCCTTCAGCAGTAATCAACCCAGGTGTCCGACCTGTTTGTTAACCATTTCCAAATGACTCAGAGGACCTAGAGGGAGGGCTTGAACACACTCCAGCACTGTTTCTACAATTTAGCCTTTATTTGCATTGGAAACCACATTCCTGAATTATTGAGGGGGCAGGCTCTGGCTTATTCTGGGCAACTGACTTCAAGTGGGACCCCTGAGCTACCTATGTAAGCGCACAGTCAGCCATCCCTGGAGAGTTACCAGGGAGGAGGATCTTTCTGTGCATCTTGCTTTGATGACCTCCATCCAAAGCCCTTTGAGGAAGTTTTGTTTATTCAAGGAGCCCTTGGCAGGTCACTCCTCCCCT